GATGCACAGGTACAGGATAGGCAGTACCTGGCTCAACAGTAGTGCCTATGAGAGGGATCTAAGTGTCCTGGTGGACCACCGCTTAAGTATGAGTCAGCAGTGTGTGCTGCAGCTGCCAAAAAAGCCAACACAGTCCTGGGCTGCATCAACAGAGGGATAGCATCGAGATCAAGGGAAGTGATAGTACCACTCTATACCACACTGGTGAGGCCACATTTGGAATACTGCGTCCATTTCTGGTCACAATACAAAAAAGGTGCTGAGGCCCTAAAAAGAGTGCAGAGAAGAGCAACAAAGATGATAAGGGGTCTGGAGGCTAAATCCTAAGAACAACTAAAGGAACTAGGTATGTTTAGCTTAATGGAGAAAAGACTGAGGGGAGACATGATAACAGTCTTCCAATACTTGAAGGGCTGCCACTGGGAAGAGGGCGTAGGTTTATTCTCCACAGCACCTGAGGGTAGGACAAGAAGCAATGGATAGAAGGGAGGTCCATTGGTCAGAGGGAGATCCAAACTGGAAATAAGGCGGAATTTACTGATAGTGAGAACTATTAAGCAGTGGAACAGCTTGCCTCCCGGAGTTCTGGGTGCTTCATTGCTGGAGGTTTTCAAGAAAAGACTGGACAACCATTTGTCCAAGATGGTATGAGGACTCCTGCCTTAGGCAGGGAGTTAGACTAGAAGACCTCCAAGGTCCCTTCCAACCCTTTGATTCTATGTACTGCAGAAGTCTCTCTGTTGCCACTGTTGGCACATGTTTATATTGTAACTGTAAAGGGGGGGGGAGGAAACAGGGTCAACATTCCAGGAGGTTCTGATGCAAAAACTTAATCCAGTCTAAATAGCCTTCTGCAGCATCCAGGTTCTTGGCCCAGGAAAATGTGAAATCTCTTATTTTAGAACCCTTTCAGTTGGTTTCAAAGATCTGTAGGAAAGTCGCAGACGTCTATTAGCATGACTGCTGTAAGGTTTAGAACAGTCACGGGACTGCACTCAAAGAAAAAAATCATTTTCCATAATATGGAACATTACTACTTTCTTCTTCTTTTATTTACATTTATTTATAATTTCAATTTATATGGCCACCTATCTCAAATTCATGACTCTGAGCAGCTTACAGCAGTTAAAAACACCATAGTGTTTTGGCATAATTGCCACTCATTGCAGAGCAACTTATTTTTTCTTCTTTTTGGAATGTTTAGTTCAGCAATTCTAGCTCGTACACCTTTTCATATAATAATGTTTTGGCTTCATTGCTACCATTAACCGAGGTCACTTCTCTATGCCTTGCAGAATTAGGTACTGGAAATCCTTGTGCCTATATAGTAGTAAATCATTTGATTTGCATGAGAAACTCCTTGCATGCACAATCTCTGAAAAGACTGAGAAAACCCATTGGGTAATGAGAGCTAAGGCAGGAGAAGAGGAATGTCTTGTGTAAGAGACTCTCTCCCTGCCCATTAATATTCTCCTGAAAGTTAGCTATAGCACAGTAACTGTTCCTGCATATCAGTCCACTAGCCAATTAGAAGCAAGAAAAGGCTGAAGCATTCACATTCAATGTGGTACACTCAGGAATGAGTGTAACATTTGACTCCTTGCACTTGTGCAACAGCACAAATTCAGTGGGATTTACTGAGACAGGCATAATCCATTATAGGAACTATAAAGTTGTAGAATAGCACAATATTAATCACTATTATTCACGCTTTAATTATCTTTCTCCTACACTATCTGAGGCCTGCTATTTTTAAAGAACTCTTTTCTACAAAAATACTGCAATTATCTTTTCTCAAAATAGATTGTGCTCAACCCTACTTATATAACTCTTCATATTTTAAAACAACCAATCTAACGTTAAGGTCTATAGTAGAAGGTCTAAGTAGTCAGGATCACCAAAAATGGTTTACCATATACACAACCAAATCCTAGAGCAATACCACGGCTGCAGCTTGCATGTTGGAATGGTTTTGTGCAAATCCATTTCAAGGCTGGAAGATTTCATCAACTTTCTCAAACAGTCATTTTAAACTATGGAAAACTTGGTGGGGTGCATTTCATGTTGTTTATGATTTCTTACTATTCATAATGCAAGAACAGGAAGTGTGGGGCCTTCAAGTAACCTTCAGATCATAAACCATTTTTTGTTAATCAGGACAGCTAGACTAGTAAGCAGCACAGGGTGGAAGAAAGTATTCCAATCTTTAGCAGTATTAGACAGCCAAAGAGTTATTTACCCTATTGAATTCATTGCCACTTATATTGGCAATAGCCACCGATATAAGAGATTTAGACAAAGGAGTATGAAGTCTATGAATGATTACTATTTATAATGGCCACACAGAAATTTCAACTACAGTATGCCTCTAAGTATTAAATTATGGAAGCAGCTATGGAACACAATGTCTTATTTACAAGCTCTGATACTGAGTTTCCCAAAGACATTTTTATAGATATTGTGGAAACAGAGTGATTGACAGATAGCCTACTGGCATGTTGTAAAACACCATCAGTATTCCAATAGTTTTGTGCTATTATACAAATGTCTATGAAGATTTCAGTTATCTGTTATCTCTTACTATGGTTTTCAAAACTTTCTAGAAATATTTTCATTTTATCCATTAAGCAATGTCTGAATGTGTGACCCAGCACTCATTCTGTTGTTGACAGAAGCTTCTCCAAGTTAACCTACAATATTCATCTACAA